TTTACAACCTAGTTCATCTACCTTTACACACTTATTGCACATTACTTCCCTTCACACATTCTAAATTCCAGCCAAACTGCCCTATTTAATGTTCCTAAATCAGCATTCCAGTTTCTATCTTTGTATCCTTCTCACTATTCATACAGCTATCAGCTTATTTCAGGACCTCATCATTTCTCACCTGAAAAAAACAAAAAAACAAACCCAACTTCACAATTAATCTCCCTGCCTTAAGTCTTTCCACTCCTTAATGCATCTTCTACCCTTCAGCTGCCTTTCACAGAATGCTCCCAGCCTAAATTTCCAGATATAGATCTCACTTTACTTTTCTTTAGGCAGTCTATCCTTCAGTCAAAATGGATTACTTAATGCTTCCGGAATTCAAAATGCCATCTCACACTTCTGGGCCTTTCCATAGGATATCCCCATAACTGAAATAAACTCCCTCCTCATCTTTCAGAAAACTTAGTTTATTCAAAGATCACATCAGGTACAACTTGTACAGGAAGCCCTTCCTGGTTCCCCTAGTTTGTTGGTGTTCTCTTCTTAAATTATTTTTTATTTAGTTATTTGAGTAAATAATGCATCCAAACAGTATACCATAAGCTCCTTAAAAGTGTGGGATTTTTCCTCTTTTATCTCTCAGAAGCTGACATTTTGCTGAGGTTGGTAAACCCTGAGAAGTAGCGATACATTAAAAATTAAGCACAAACATTTTTTGAGGATGGAGGAATACTGACAATGGAGGGGACAGGAAACACCTGTCTTGTCCTATACCCATTGGGCTTGTCATGGGAAACTACTCAGGCCCTGGAAATGATTGTTTGTTATCTACTGTTCCCCCACTTTCCCCACTTGTGATTTGTGTATATAAGAGGTGGAACATCAGTCAGGGCTCTAAGAGAGAGAAATAAAGTGGGAGAGCGAGCCCTCCTGATATAGGGAGGAGCCAACATAAATAAAGATATAGAGGCTGCACGTGTAACATTTTATATGACAAACAAGAAGGTCAGTCTGGGTAGAACACAGAACATGGGGGGATGGAAAGACAAGTAACATGAAATTCATCTGAAGAAAGAGGTTGAAGCCATTTTGTGAGGGGACTTAAATCACAGAGGAGTTTGTGTTTTGTTCAAGAAGTAACAGAAAGCTGCAGAAGCTTCTTAAGCAAGGATGTGACATAAGAAGGTAGAGAGGGAAAGTACTAAGGGTGGGTAAGGTTAAGCTGCATATAGATAAGAATATGGGAAGAAAGAAGGGAAAAGTGTTTTCACATAGGTAGATGGGAATTCTGAATCACAGGGATTTAAGAGCAAGAAGTAGGAATTTCCTAGGCAGAAAGAGTACCAAGTAGGGAGAATCTTAAAGACTAAATATAAATAAGTGCTAAAGTTCCCAATTAGAATGTCAGTGTGAAGAAGACCCCTTCTAGTGGCATCTGGGAGGAGGGGGGAATTCCTCAGCTGAATACAGCAGGAGAGAAGTGAACCAAGAATCCTGAGGTAAACGAGGCCTCCACAGCTTGGGTCACCAAAAAGAGACTCCTCAGCAAACTTTGGGCAAGTCACTTAACTTCTCTACGCCTCAGTTTTCTAATTTGTAAAATAAAGATAATAAGCTCTGCCTATCTCATTATGAAGATAAAAGTAAAATGCTATCTGGGAAAGTGCTTTGAAAAGTATAAACTAGAGTCCCTTGAACCCTCAGGGATTAGATGGGTGACATCCTGACCAAGACCATGAAGAATGTGAACTGGATTATTATCAGAAAGTATTACATCCTAAAGCATACTTCTCACCTTTATGCTAAAAATTCTACAAAGTATAGGCACAGAGAGACCTTTTTAAAAAATGTCATTACAAAAAAGTATATAACTAAAAGCAAGCATCATATGCAATCAGGATAAACTAGAACAAGGGTCGGCAAATTACAGCGGACACTCTGCTTTTTAGTAAGAATAGTTTTTACATTAAGCTTTATTGTATTTTAAAACGTAAAAACCATTCTTAGCTACCAGGCCATACAAAACAAAAACAAGATGTGGCCAGATATGAGCCACAGGCCATAGTCTGCCAACTCCTGTACTAGGACCTTTCCCATTAAATATTTCAGTAAAACAAAGATAACTCTCAAATATAATTTGATATAGTTACAGAAGTACTAGCAATAGCAATACAACAGAAAGATATTAAAGGCATAAAGACAGATTTTTAAAAAGGAGATTAAAAATTATCCCTATGTATGGATGACGATTTACATAGAAAATTCTAGGAAATCAGCAAAGATACCATTGAGACAATTAATAGCTTCAGCAAAGTTTAGGCTATAAAATAGAACCTCAAATATCAACAGCATGTCTATATAATAATGATAAAACCCAAGAAACAATAATAGAAAAGGGAAATCTCATTCTATTCTATTTATTTATTTATTTTTATTTTTAGGCAATTGGGGTTAAGTGACTTGCCCAGGGTCACACAGCTAGTAAGTGTCAAGTGCTTGGCCTGAGGCCAGATATGAACTCAGGTCCTCCTGACTTCAGGGCCAGTGCACTATCCACTGCCACCTACCTGCCCCAGAGAAATCTCATTCCAAATAACTACAAAGTACATGAAATATCTAGGAGTCAGTCTATCAAAGTACATAAATCATTTTATAGATTTAATTACAGTCCTTTTCAAAAAAGAAAGAAAAAAAAGGCTGGAGCAATATTCAGTGTTCACGTCTGGGTCATGACAATATAATAAAAATTACAATACCACCAAAGTCAACTTATACTTTAATGCTATACTAATCAAATTAACAAAAGAATCATTTACAGAATCTGATGAAATAATAACAAAACATATTCAGAAAAATAAAAGATCTAAACTATCAAAGGAAATTATGAAAAGAAACAGGGATGAAGGGAGACTAGCACTTTCACATTTCAAACTATTATTATAAAGCAGCAGTCATCAAAATTATCTGGTGTTGGTTAAAGAATAGATACACCAATGGAAGAGGCAACGTAAGCAAGAATCAGAAACAACGAAACTTAATAAACTAGTGTTCAATAAACTGGAAAACATACAATTATTTAGGAAAGACATCTTTATTTGATTAAAAACTGCTGAGAAAACTGTAAAGCAGTCTGACAGTCTAAGACCAACACCTTATACTACATTCCACAATATATTCTAAATGGATACATGTTCTAATATTAAAGACCATATTATAAAAAAATTAGAAGAGAAGCAGGTCATATACTTCTTAATGGACAATGAATTCTTAATCAAAGAAGAGATAGAGACAATTACAAAATATAAAACAAATGACATGATTCCACGAAACTGAAAAATTTAATGCACCTGAAATAAGAAGGGTAGTAGTCAAATGGAAAAAAAAATCTTTGTTATCAAATCTCTCTGGTAAGAGTTGGTATCCAAGATAAATAAACAAATAATAGGTATAAATATTAAAAAAAAACAGCCATTCCCCAATAGCTAAATAGTCACAGGATATGAACAAACAGTTCTCAAAAGAACAATTTACAAACTACTAATAAACACACAAAAGAATGCTCTAAATCACTAATAACAGAAATGTAAATCAAAATAACCCTGGGGTTTCACCTCATATCCTACAAAATGACAAGGATGATGGTGTCAGATGGCAATAGTCAATGTTGGAGGGATTATGAGAGGACAGTTACACTGGGCCACCGCTGGTAGAGCTATGAACTGGTGCAACCATTTTGGAAAGCAATTTGGAATTATACAAGTAAATTGACTAAATGTCCATAACCTTTGAATCTGAGATTTCATTTTACTGGCCCAAGAAATAGCAGCACATTTTGTAATAGCAAAGAATAGGAAACAAAGTAGATACCCATAGATTAGAGAATGCCTAAACAATCTGTGGTACATAAACGTAATGGAATATTATTGTCTTACAAAAAATGATGAAATGTGATGAATACAGACAAACATGGAAAGATTTACATGAACTGATGCAGAGTGAAGTAAGCAGAGCCAAAAAAAATATACCCACAGTAACTACAACAATGTAAAAAGAAACACACACACACATCAAAAGTCAATGTCACAAAATTGTAAAAACCAAGCACATTTGAAAGAAGAGCTCTGAAAGGATAGATAGGTGGCACCAGCCCTGAAGTCATGAGGAACTGAGTTCAAATCTGGCCTCAGACTCTTAGCTGTGTGATTCTGGTCAAATCACTTAACTCCAATTGCCTCCAAAAAGAGAGAGAGAGACAGAGAGACAGACAGAGAGAGACAGAGAAAGAGATATCTAAGAAGACACTCCCACTTTAGCCTTTTGTAGAAAAGAAACCCACAAGTGTTGCACATAACACATACTTGTATTGATTGGTTGTGCTGATTTTTTCCTCCTTTTTTTCTTATTTTTAAAAAAACACTATTGTAAAGGATGGTTCTTTTGGAGGTAAAGAACGAGGTAAGAAAACAAATACATCAATACAGTTTATTTTTTTAAAGTATTATACCCGCATGAGGTATAATATGAACAAGTCTACATGTTAGGAGATTTTCCCATCCATGGCAAAAAGTTTCTCAAAAGGATCAAGGGATATGTTATTCGTCTGATGAAATGGATCCAGAGAGGCTCTGTCCTTTAAGAGCTATCTTCAGGAAGGGAAAGAAAGATACCTTGAGGTATCTTTGCTCAAAATCAGGAGATCACTGAAATGGATTCTGATATCAAAGAAATGCTGGAAATCCTAGACTTTGCCAGTTTGTTTAATCCACAAGTTACCTAGCAGACAGCTGAGATGAACTTTAAAACACCAAGAGGTGCTGTTCAATATCTGCTGTTGCTATTTTTCCAGTAAACTTAAGAATCCTCAGAAAAAAATAAATAAATCAAAAAAGAGGGTGATAAGGAGAAATGTAAGAGAGAAACACAGATTGCACCACATCGACATTTGCTCTCTTCAAATCTAAATCTCTAAGACTATCCTTTTCAGTTTAAACACTTACCTGCTTTTCACTGTGATCTACCATGACCTTCTGTCCCTGACTGTTCTTCCACCATATGGGCACATGTTCAATGTTCAAATCTTCATCAGCAGAAGCAAAGTAATTTTCTAAGGTCTTGCATACTAATTTGGCCCTTGTGAACCCTGCTTTCCCTTCTGAAAGGACAGAGTTGACCATGAAGGGTGTGAGCTTGAAAGGATTCAGTTTCTTCTCTATCTGGTACCTGTAATAAATATCCAAAGTTATTTAATAAACAGTAAACTGCAATGTGTGTGTGGGTGTGTGTGCGCACATGTATGTATCTATGTGTATAATAGGATATTGGGCTAGGAATCAAAAGACCATAATAATTACTAATCTGTCTTCATCATAGTGTTGTCATGGTCAAATGAGATATACTTATTAATAAAGAATTATATTAATCAATTCTTCAAATATCTGTGATTAAATCAAAGTCAATTTCCTTTCTCCTTATATAGACCACAACACTTCATTCTTCCAGATCAACTATGACCGGAAAAAAAAAGAATCTGTTGATGAATCTCCCTGAACTTAGAGAAATTGATCCTCAGGTAAGAATCATGAAGTCCATGTCAGGTCCACAGTAACGTAAAGTACTGAAGATATGTGTCTTTCATAGACCTTGCAACATTGTGGTGTCACTATATTTCACTGATGGGTAAGTCCAGGCAATTTACAAGTAGGAAGCAAAATGGTATGGCTTATGTCACTGCACAGTGAGAAAATCTGAGTAAATTTTGTTGTTGCTCTTCAAAATGTAAGAGGACTGAGGTGGTGAGTTACTGAATCTCTCATCTTCTATTCTCTATTTATAAATAAGGATAATGATGTCAAATCTTCCACTTATTACCATAGTTACAAATCATCACAAATGTCATATACATATCACATAAATTATACGTTTTATATATTGTCTGTATATGTTAGATGTACAAAGAATATACACACACCACACACACGCAAGATAGTAATAATCTGCAACAATAATGATGGTAGTGACAATACGTACAGCCTTCCTTTGTCTCTGAAGGCCATGGAGTGAAAAGTTTTGCAGGTAACATTGCTTGGGAACATGTGCTCAGCTTGCTTTGCAACACTCTTGTTGAATGCAACATAGAGAAATTTTCTGTCAGACCACTTCTCGGCATATTTGACAAGGGTTGAGGTCTTTCCAGTGCCTAGAAACCAAGAGAAAAGTTTGTATATTTCTGACTATGAGAGGAAAGGCAGGCTCACCACAAAAAATAGTTCATTGCACCATTAATTACACTTAGTTATCAATTGAAATCAATATTTATTTGAATGTCCATGATATACAAGGTGCTATGCTAGATATGGTCAGAAATATCTTTCTTGTATATAACACTTTAAATTAATCTGAAAGTTCTGTATCAAAAAGAACTCTTTATAGACTCAGAAAATGTTAGCCCTTAGGTACTTAGAGGTGCTTTAGCTAACTACCCCCACTTCACAGAAAATGAAATTAAGACCAGGCAGCTGACTGGAAGTTAGTCATTTTAAACCTTCTCAACATAACACCTTGGCAGAGTAGAAAGATCACTGGATTTGGAGTCGGAGGACCTCTGTTCTCTGACTTTCTACCTAAATGGCCCTGGCAAGTTAATTCTACTACAGGGCTCAGTTATCTCATTTGTAAAATAAGGATGCTGTTATATATTCAATTCAATAAATACTTATTAGGCAGCTATTAACTATAAGTAAATCAATCAACAAGAATTTATTAAGTGCCTACTATCTATGAGGCACTAGGAATACAAAGACAAAACATGAAAAAGTCCTTGCTCTCAAGGAGCCAAGAGTATGCTGGTAAATGTTTAATAACCAACTCTCTAAAAATGCCAACCTGTTTTTAAATTTAATCTGCATTATTAACAGATTATTATAAACTAACTTCTCCAGTGAGCAAGAAGATGGAGGACATTTTCTCAGATTCCCATGACCTCTCAAACTTGTCCAAAACAGGAATTATGTGCCAAAGATAAAACAACTTCAGCAATCTCCACGGTCTAGGTCACTCAGAATCCAACTGTACTGAGGATTACAAATCCATTCACACAGATCTCTGCCTTCCACACAAAAGAAAGAAGCACAGAATACATACTGCATACCTCAACTTGAAAGGTTTGGGGTGGGGAGGGGAGAGAAGATTAGAAAGTAAATTCTCTAACCTGCAAAAGCCATAATTTTCACCACCTGGAGAGGTTTGATCTCATGGCTCAGGATCTTTTGCTGTTCATGTGTTAGCTGAATAGTCACTTTTTTCCTGAAATCAACAGAGAAAAACTAAAAAGAAAAGGAAGGGATTGAAAATAATAATATACACAGACTATCCTCTCCCCCTACACACACACAAAAAAAGCAGGGGGATGGGGGACTTGTGAACATATACTGACATAGAATCCTTTTTTGCAACCTTTTAGTATGAAAAAAGGAAAAAAATATTTACCCTTGAAAAGTGGAGGCTTCCTCTTTGACACCTGTGGCCTGAAATCTTGAGTTCTCCTGAAGGTATAGGCAACAGGAGATGTTGTAATGAATCCTGATTTTTAAAAAAAAAATACATGGTCAATTAATTGATTTATTAAGGTCTGGGAGTCAGGAGACCTGGGTCCTAATCCCAGCTCTGCCACTAATTTACTGTGTGTGACTTCACTGTGCAAGTCACTGCCCCTCTCTGAACTTAAATTTTCTCACTGAATGAATAAAAAACAGGTCAGTCTAGATGGGATTTCCAAAGTTCTATAAAATATTTCTTAATATTAACTCTTTTTCTAGTTATAATTCAAAAACATATTATTTGCAAAATGACTCCCAAAACCTTAAATAAACACACAGCAGAAAAAAACAAAAACCTATCAAAAAGAAATATTTGAAAAATTTAAACAGCAAAAAAAAAAATCTGGCCAAAAGCACAATCCTAGAAGAATTAATTCATCATCTAAGACCATAAAAGGGAAAACTAAACAAATGAAGCCCTCTAGGAATTGCAACAGGAGCACACTTTTTGCCTGTTTAGACTATAGTACTTCAATGGCATCTCTGCCTTTGTGACACTACAAGACAACTGAATAATAAAAGTTAGACCTGAAATTGTGATTCTATACTTAGAAATGCAGCAAATTCAACAATTTTATCAAATATTTATTAAACTAATATTGTGTGCTTACTTAGCTTGTTTAGTTGAACTAAATTATTAGCTTCTGTATTAGGCAACAGGGATACAAAAATGAAAAGATGCCAGGCCTTACTTTCAAGGCACTTAAAAGCTAATGGAAGGTAAAGGGAAGGACATTTTGGAATAAGACATATACACTAATCCATATACAAAGCAGAAAGTGAAAGGAAAAATGCAATTATCCAAGTAAATATTCTAAGAAAGCTTTAGGAAGAAGAGGTCTTTTTTGACTTGAGGTGATCAGAGAAGACTTCTTAGAGAAAGACATACCTCTGCAGACAACTGATAGGAAGGATTTCAAAAATCAGAGAAGATATTTAGGTTTTCTTCTATAGGCAACAGGGAGTCATTAACAGCTTTTGAGCAGGGGAGTGACATGGTCAGATCTTTACATCAGAAAGAGTGTTTTGACAAATGTGAGGAGGACGGAGTGGAGTGGAATGACTAAAGGCAGATATGCCATTTAAGAGACTACTGGCAGTATTACTATAGTCTAAGTAGGCAAAAAATTACAAGGCTGTGTTAGAGAAGAGACTGGATGGAAACTGAGTCTCATCCTAGATGACCCTCTTCCAATTCTCTACTATCTCAACCTGTCTTAAAATGCACATAAAAATTCTTACTCCTACATCTCATGCAGTAAGTATTTAGAAATGAAATCCTATCTTTAAAGTATTCTGTGTTTTTTCAGAAGGAAAGGTACTGTATCAATAATAAAGTGCTGTAACCTTATGACTTAAAAGAAAAAAAAACCATTAAGGAGTCATTATAACTGGGAACCCATGGAACTAAAATGGCAGTCTCTTAAGCATCTAAGCAAGGTTTTTTTACACATGTTTTAACAGAAGAAATATTTCCTAGACAAAGTAGGAAGTTACAGATTCACTGAAACACACACATTACACACCACCTTGTTCTATAAACTCCTTAATTTAAGATCTTCCATAATCTTCCTTTCCATCTTACTCCTCTTTACATACATTCAACCAGCCCAAAATGAGTTATAAACTGTCTCCCAATCTCAACCTCCCATCTTCCAGTTCTGTGCATTCTGAGGCCATCATCTGCCACATCCAAACATATGGTAGTGTACTTTCCTTCTCTTTTCTGCCAGTGGAAATCATTCTCTTCCATCTAGGTTCAGTTATGTGTATCCTCCACCATTAAACTGTCTCTTCCTCCAAAGTACTCACCCATTCCTCAGATTTTCCTATAATAGTGTCCTTGACCCAGCAGACTATACAACAGACCATACTTATTTGTGTACACATTGTAGTCCTGCCTCCCATACCCTTCCACACCCCAAAAAATCTTTCAGGTCAGGGATTGTGATTTTTCCATCCTTTTAATAACAGCACCTAGCTTTGGGCCTTGCATACAGTAGACACTTAATAAAGGTTTAGTTGAATTGTTCTGTCTTTCAAGTCCTTGAAATCCAGGAGTGTTTTCACAGCTTGTAGTTACTCAGTAAATACTAAGTGAATTAAAAAAGGGATAACTTTTAGAATGTCACTACTCCAAACTTTTAAGAATTCATTTACAAAAATTATAACCACTCACATTTATGAAGTTTAAAGTTTACAAACCACTTTCCTCAATTCAACTTACAACGATTTACTAAGTGCTTACCTGTGGGCAAAGTACTCTGGTTTAGGAAGAAAGATAATCATTTCGGTTTTGGACATGTTGAGTTGAAAATGTCTACAGGACATCCAATTCAAGCTATCTAACAGAGAGTTGGAGATGTGAGAGTGTAGAATGAAGAGGTTAGGGCTGTTCAAATAAAAGTGAGACTCATCTGCATAGAAATGATAATTGAATCCATGCTCTTGGTTCTCCTCCAGCATATCAAAGCCCTCCTTTTCTGTCTCCTCTGCTGCATCATCACCCATATTGAGCCTGTAACTGACAGTGTACCCCCAAAGTCCTATCCTGTCCCTTTTTTATTTTCCCTCTACACTCTCAATTACCTTATTAGCTCCCAGCTTTACACAAATGAGTCCCAAATTTATGCCAACTCTAGTCTCTCTCCTAAGCTGTCGTTTCATATCACGAAGTGTCTATGTGATTTTCCAATTGGATGCCTTATAGTTATCTTACAAACTCAATCTTGTCCAAATTTTTCCCAAAAAATTCACCCGCTTCTAAACATCACTATTTCTGTTGAAATACCACCATCCTTCTAGCTACCCAAACTTCGATGCTGCCCTTGACTCCTTATGCTGCCTCACTTTACATATTCAATTAGTTCCCAAGTCTTGTAAATTCCAACTCTATAGCATCATTCAAATTTTCCCTTCTCTCCATTCCCATGGCCACCTCTCTAATTCCAGCCTCCATCACCTCTCACCAGGATTACTGAAATAACTTCCTAACTGATCTCCTTGCCTCAAGTTTTTCTGTTTCCAATCCAACCTCCATAAAATTGCAAGTGATCTAAAGAATAGGTCTGACATGTCACTCTCCCAACCAAAAAATTCTAGTGCCTATTACCTCTAAGAATAAATGCCAACTTCTTTGTCGTCTTACACGATTATCCTCTTCATGTAGTCTCTGTTTCAGCCAAACTGGCCTTCCTAGTCTTTACACATGACAAGCACTGAGTCTTTGTACACGCTGTCCCAAAATGGCAGGAATGTATGCCTTCCTCAGTAAGCTCGTAGGGGCACGGACCATTTCATTTTTATCACTGTATCACTAGCAACTAGCACCTAGTATATCCCTAGGGCCTAGCATATAGGAGGTGACTAATTAACATTTGTTGACTTACTGATTCCTGACAGACTCCTTACTCTCATTTCAAAACTCAGATCAAATGCTTCACCTTCCAAGAAGCTTTACCTGATAACCTCCAGGTGCTAGTATTACAAACACAAACACTCATATATCATTTCTTATTTACTTTGTATATAGTTATATGTGTGAAAAGGTCGTTGGTATAAACTGACCCCAGGGGCAAAAAGACCCGAGTTCAAATATGCTTCTGACACATACTGGCTCTGTGAACATGAGCAAGTCACTTAAATTCTCAATGCTCTAGGAAACTCCCTAAAACAGTACATTACAGAGGAGATGGCAAAGGAGGTTTCCTCACCTAGGAGTTCCCTATAACAATGAAATCACAGATACATTCTCTTTCCCTAACTTATTAAATGTGTGTGTTCTTTCCCATAATAGAATTTAAATTTTTTGAGGGCAGATTACTTTTATTGTTATACTCTAACATAAGCACCTATTAAATGCTTATTGACTGATCCAGCAAGAGATTAAGGGTAAGCAGTCAGGTAAAAGCAGGACAGAAGAACACCATAGAAGCCAAGACAAGAGACTATGTCCAAGAGAAGGGAATTGTCAAGGGTCAAAAGCTGCAAAGAGGTCAAGGAATATTTGGCCTAAGAAAAGGCCATTAGATTTATAAGTTAGGAAGTCACATTAGAGAAAGTCTAATTAGATAGCCCAATTGGACACAGGGCCTGGGAGCAGTTGTGTTGTATTTTGATCTTAAACGAAGAATGTAAAGGGAAGTGAAAAGGTCAGATATCTTTACTCTACCAAGCTATCCTTCAAGGATGTCTAGTCTGCTGTCCAAAAGTCTGAGCCACTATCTTGCACCTAGACTCAGAGAGCACTTTTTAGTTTCATGAGAGAAGGGGGGTCATTGCTAGCTCCCTTTACCAAACATCCAATTAATCATATTATTCCCTGTACTTCAGCTCTATAAGCAATCATACTGCCCTTAATTCCATGATGTCACCTGCCATGTTCTATACTTCCCAAAACCTATAGAGGAGGAACTGTCCTTTTGCGCTAGTGTTTGACATAAATGAAGGTAATCCATTGACACATTTACTGATAGGTAGCATGATCATGCTAATAAATGTTATCTTGTGCAGAGATCTGCCTCCCTTTTGTTAAATCTCAAAATTGACAGTACTAAAATGTCCACATTTAATGTATGATAAGCTCATAATTTTTAAAAGTGTAAATTTTTTTTTTTAGGGCAGTTGGGGTTAAGTGACTTGCCCAGGGCCACACAGCTAGTAAGTGTCAAGTGTTTGGTCTGAGGCCAGATTTGAACTCAGGTACTCCTGACTTCAGGGCCAGTGCTCTATCCACTGCACCACCTAGCTGCCCCCAAAAATGTAAATTTTAAGAAAGAAATGAGTGAATACTAAGGAAAGACAGGCAGTGAGTATAAAGTAATTTTTTCCCCCAGAAGTCTGGCAGTGAAGGGATGATATAGGTTAAAACACAGCTTAAGGAGACAGCATAATCAAGTGAAGAATTTTTAAGGATTGGGTAGACCTAAGCATATCTGAAGGCACAAGATACGAGACAATAGAGAAAGAATGAAAATGGAAAAAGACATATAATGATCTTGTAGCAGTGAAAAATATTATTTTTCCATTTACAGATAGCTATATAACCTGAGAGAGATTTGGCCAAATCATATAACAAGAGTTAGAACTAGGACTTGTGCTTCAATCTTTGGACTGATGTCCTGTGCACTATTCTACAGTGAAAAGAAAAATATTTTAAAATCTCCTTAGGAATGTGATGTTCCAGTTCCATCTCCATGTTTAAAGAAGGTTTCCAGGGCAGCTAGGTTGTGCAGTAGATAGAGAGGGCACTGGCCCTGGAGTCAGGAGGACCTGAGTTCAAATCCAGCTTCAGACACATAACACTAGCTGTGTGAGCCTGGGCAAGTCACTTAACCCCAATTGCTTCACCAAAAAAAAAAAAAAGAAAAGAAAAGAAAAAAGAAAAAGAAGAAGGCTTCCACTAAATGAAAGATAAGGTTGAAAAATTTCAAATGTACAAACTTGGTTTTCTCAGCTTAAAAAATTAGTTCCCCTACACCCTTTTCTTCCTTTGTTTTACCTGTTGCTAATCTTAATCCCCTTCTCTCTCATAGCATGCAGCAGTACCGCCATACAGTACAGGGTCTCAGTGATGTCTAATATGGTCACTGGCGAAGTGGGTCTCTTGAAACAGGACAACAGCCTCTGAATGTCACTCATGGTGCTGGAGAGAAGTATGATTGTTGCTATTAAGGCCCACACACTGATACCCTGCGGAATAGAGAACAAGAGAGGGAAAAAAGGCCACATGCTGCATTTAACAAAAGCCAAGTGAGTCAACCTATACCTTAAAAGCAGTGTTAGGTTGGTGTGCTACCCATTAGCCACCAACCAATTTTACAAACTCTCTGTGCTAAAGACAAAATGGTCCTATCTCAACCTAGCCATGAAAGAAGTAGGTGTTTTGTCCAATGACAGTTTTCAATTCTGAAACTGCATTTCCTCTTCTTTTCAGAGCCTGACTTTAGTGGTACAATGGATTGCTGCTTTCATGTTTTTATATGTCTACAGGACATTATTTCATTGGTTACTTTATTTCAGCACAAGATCTTTGGGACCTTCAGATAAGAGCTCCTGTCTAGTAGAATCAAGTAAACAATTACTGAGTGCCTATTGTGTGCCCACACAATAGAGGCAGTTAGGTGGTACAGTGGGCTGAGTGCCAGGCTTGGAGTCAGAAGATTCACCTTCCTGAGTTCACATCTGGCCTCAGACACTGACCAAGTGGGTAACCCTGGGCAAGTCACTTAACCCTGTTTGCCTCAGTTTTCTCATCTATAAAATGATCTGAAGAAGGAAATAGCAAACCACTCCAGTATTTCTACAAAAAAAAACCCAAATGTGGTCACAAAGAGTCAGACATGGCTAAAAAGACTGAACAACAATAATATTTTGTGCCCAATTAATTTCAACAAGCATTTATGGGTTTACTATAAGCCAGGCATCAGGGATAAAAATCTTTGCCTTCAAGTAACTTATAGATTCAGGCAACATAGGAAAGGAATAAGCATTATACAGTACCTGTTATAAGCCAGGGACTGTGCTAAGTGCTTTACAAATATTATCTCATTTGATCCTCACAACAATAAGGTAAGTGCTGCTGCTATTTTTAGTTTGAGAAAACTAAAGCAAATAGAGTTTTAAGTGGTTCACCCATGGCCACACAACTATGAAGTGTCTGAGACCAAATTTCAACTCAGGTCTTCCTAACTCCAGGCTTAGCACTTTATCCACTGCACCACCTAGCTACCTCATATGAAAGAAGCATAATGCAAGTGCCTTATAAGAAAGTTAAAATCAATTATTCTGCCACATTAAATTGTAAGCTCTTCATTATGGAGACAACATTCAACAAATTAAAATAAAAATTTATTAACATACTATCATATGCCAAGAACTGAGGTACCCTGGAGAAAACAGAAGTTTTACATGAAGCATGTTCCCTCTCATTATTCAGTAAGAGAGTACCACACACACGGAAAAATAACCATTAGCACCTTTTTTCATTAAGATTCTTTTTGCTTTTTTTTTTTTTGCAAGGCAATTGGCTAGTAAATGTCAAGCGTCTGGTCTGCGACCGCATTTGAACTCACATCCTCCTGACTCCAGGGCTGATGCTCTATCCACTGCGCCACCTAGCTGCCCCAATTAAGATTTTTCTTAAACAAAGGACAGAAAGATACTTGCAGATAGAGCAACCAACTCATTGGAAAGCATTATTTTATGCTAACACTGCTAAAAAGTCTCCCTGCTAAAGAATATACTCCCTGAACTAACTACTGGTACCATCAACAATTTCTTTCATAAAAATAACATAGAGCTAACAATGTGGTAGATTTTTCCACTCTAAGGCTAGTTGTGTGTTAATTTCACAATTACACTTGAGAATACATTTCTAATTGAAATCAGAGAACCATAGGCCCACAACTACGCACGCTAAAATCTACTGTCATTCATTGTATGGTCTAGGACAAGTAACTTAATTTATAGAACACTCACATCCCAGAATCAGTGAGTGTTTTAGAACTAGAACGAGCCTTCTTCTAGTTCTTCTAGAGTCTGTCTAGTCCAACCTTCTCACTTTACAGATGAAAAAGCACAGGCCAAGAAAGGTTAAATGACTTACCCAACATCACAAGAAGATAGATTATCTGTAAACTGTCAACCAAGTCCATTAACTTTGGGTCTACTAGAGACTGACAAATTCCTCATCTGTAAAATCATCTGGAAAAGGAAATGGCAAACCACCCCAGGTATTTTTGCCAAGAGAAAAGCCCAAGAAGGGTCACAAAGAGTTGGACATGGCTGAAATGACTGAACAAAAAAACTCTAGAGACTGAATAGTCTTCTCCCAACTCAACCCAAAGACAAAATATTCTGTACTGATGGGCTTCATTTCTGGAACTTCTTTCACATCCCCTCTCAAATTACAAATGTTGCCCTGAAAGTCTTCAGGGACAAGTAGCAAAATTGAAACTCCCACCTTCCAAATAACTGGAGCTCTCCAACAACTAAACAGACGTAGTGATGTAATGAGTTCTCTATCACTACAGAACCAAGGATTCAAGCAGAGGTTATATGAATATTTGTCAGAGGTGCTACAGAAGGGATTCTGGCATTAGATTAAGACACTATTAGAGAGTCTATCAGACTTCAACTCTAAAGTACTATCATTCTATGGTCTCTCATTGCTTCACTGGGACAAAGAGAAAACCAACTTCTAAATTATAGTATATTATCAAATTCAGGAAAGAAAGGTTCTGTAATAGTACAAGGTAGTTTTAAGCAGAATTCATTCCCCAATATATACTCTTCTCTTTCAGAGAAAGCAACGCCATCTTTCCCTATAACTCCCTAGAGTCCCTTTACATACCCCAGGAGCACTGTACAAATCAAGCATCTTGTGACGAAGGCATGCCTCTGCCTGAGGAAAGAGAGGATGATCCTTCAGGCAATACCTTGCCTCCTCAGGATTGACATGTTGAACATATTTGGTACCCACTGTGTACCTGCAGGACAGCCAAAAAACAGGGTTAATAAAAAAGATGTCATGAATATCTGTGGAACAAACACAAGACTGCCAGAAAAATTTTTAGTAATTAAATTATTCTAATTCTAAGCACTTTTACTTAGAAAAAATCAGGACAGAAATTGAATCTGCCTTTACAAACCTCTCTCATACAAGGCATTTTGAAGTTACAACTTACAATACTCTCAGAGAGAAAATTCTACAACATAAAGCATAGTTACAGAGCTTAGGTGAAAGTTCTCTCAACATTTTGCTTCCATAAACGGAACAATTACCACAACTTCTGACACATGCTGAACAATCATTTTCCTAAAACTCTCTGCAATCAATTTCTCAAAAGTATTCTTTCATCCTGAACAGAGGTCAACTAAAGAAATACTTTGGTTAATTTGAATGAAACAAAGACTTCTTCATTTCCTTAGTCTGATCATTACCTTAATCCAGTTATAGGGAAAAGGAGTACTATTCTTCTGTGAATTAATCAAGAGTCCCTCTATCTTGGAAGTCACTACCCTAATTCTATCTTCAGAGTGAACAGAGATCCTTCCTGAACTTTGACTTAGTTTTAGAAATGGGTTAGAAAGATTAAGTATGAACCTCAAGAGATAGGAGATGACACTCCACCTCACTCCTTTGCAGAGGTGGAAGATTCATGGGTGTGGAACACTGAATGTATTTTCAGATTTCACCAATTGGTTTTACTGATTCTTTTTCTCTTCTGCTTTCTTTAAAGAAAAAAAATTATTCGTTCTAGAGAACGGCTCTTAGGGAGCTGGAGGGAGAAAATTTTTGTAATGTACAAACAAAATAAATCAATAAAATTTTATTAAAAAAAGAAGAAATGTAACTTTTAAAGAGAATATTAAAAAGTTCTTCTGACTAGGTTATGATTAAGTAATGGCAAGGTTTTTTTTCAGTCAGGTAGTTCTGAAAAAGACTTCAGATTGAAGTACTCTCCCAATATACTTTGTAATATATAGTCTAAAATGGAAGGAGGTAGAAGAGGAGAGTATGCTTCTTTGGTTTATAGGACTTTCTACATTTTGTTGGTTTGACTGTAGAACAGACTAGTCCAAGATCCCATTTTCCCCTGACATATCTCAGTAACGCACCGTATCAGGTTTAGCATACACAGGTTCTCCTCTTTTGACATGGCATAGTTCAAAAGGATATTCTCCACTTCACTGACAGCTTGTGCCTCATTCATCAGGTAACGATGGTACAGCTTTTTCCAAGGAATAAACTGTGTGACAGGGAAGTTAAAGGTAACAAGAGAGCTCAGGACATCAATAAGATAACCTACAGATTAAGCCACAAGTAAAGAATGACTTCCCCATTAGTAAACAGTCAGGAGACCTGATTTTAAATCTAGTATCCCCTCAAACTTCCTGTATAATCTTGGATAAGTCCTCACTGTGTCCTCATTACCTCAGTTTTCCCATCTGTAAAACGGGGAAATCGACCTGAGGCTCCTGGGACTACCAACAAAGACAAAATGAGAGACATGAAAGTTTCTGAAAGCAAAAACACTGTGTGGAAACAAGGCATTGTTATTTTTCTTTTCTTTTTTTTTAATTGTATTTTTATTTTCAGTTACAAATTTTCTCCCTTCCTCCACTCCCTTTCCCACCCATTCAGAAGGTAAGAAATGTGATACCCATCATACATATAAAGTCATGCAAAACACATTCCCACATCAGCCATATGCATTGTTATTTTCATCCATGAAAACGCCTAACAGAAGATGAAAAGTGTTAGTTCTAGACTACATTTTAATAGATAAGTGCAAAGCACGGACATCTTCTCAAAAAAGCAATCAGAGCTGAATGAAGAATTATCTCAAAAGGCCACTTCTTTCCTGATGAATTACATGATTCACACAATTCAAAGTATACCAGATTTAGGGGGTCAAGGAAAACACAAAATAAAACTAATATTTTGAACCAGAAAGAGCTCCTAGAAGCCAAAATCGCAAGATGGCAAAAGTCCTATTCCTCAAGAATCTTAAAGCCAAGTTATTTTCTTTTTTTTTTAAATATAAATTTATTTATTTTTAGTTTTCAACATTCACTTCCACAAGTTTTTGAGTTCCAAATTTTCGCCCCATCTCACCCCTCCCCCCACCCCACGACGGCACACATTCTGAATATCCTCCTTAAGCCAAATCCTATGAGAATAAGATTCACTCATTCCCTCTCACCTTCCCCCTGTTTCCCCTCCACTATGAGAGACTTTTCTTTTCTGTTTTTTTTTGTGAGATAATTTATCCCATTCTACCTCTCCCTTTCTTCTTCTCCGAGTATCATCCTCTCTCCTCCCTTAATTTTATTCTCCAGATATGACCCCTTAATCTTCAACTCACCCTGTGCCCTCTATCTATCTATATACACATATAATTTTTTTCCTTCAACTACCCTAAGCCAAGTTATTTTCCCTCAAATCTTTTGTGCTTTGCAACAATTCATCAAGTTCACTTTTATCCATCTTGAAACCTATTCCTTGACTTTCAAATTTCTACATACATGAAGCTAATAAGCTTTGTTTTGGATCCAGTCCCAAAGGCTAGTATATGTGAAATACAAATTTGGCAAAATATCCTACAAGCCTTTGTCAGAGGCCAGGCAAAGCTAATCAAGTTATTAGAACAGAATACAAAGTTACAAGAAATCTAATACTAATGTAAGAAATTCCATACTAATCTAGATTAATTGTTTATTAAGATCGGTTTGCTGAATCACAGAGTAGGATCTATAAATCTTTTATGGAGTGTACAGGTTGCCTCTCTGGCATCAATCTCAAAAAACAGCCCCCAAATAGAGACTAAGCCATTCCAATAACGAAAAAGAAAAGCACAAATCTCAGTAGCAAGGGTCCTGCCTGAAAAGCAACCAATGGAAAAAGAATTTTCTGGTGAGACTCCATTATATGCTTTTTAAGAAAAACACAGTTTCTTTCATTTCAAATCTACAGGCACCCTGCTTACCAAAGGATCATTGATAATCTCCCTCCAAAGGTGGCACACCAGGCTTAGGCTCTTATAAAGATCTTCCACAGGGATGAAACCAAAGATGTGTCTTAGGACTTCACTGGGAAGACTACAAATGTGGCTCTGGGGCTCCTGACTCGGCAAGTTTCCAAGAAGCCCATAATAAGGGTCACATTCAGGGCCACTTTCCTCATCTTCTTGCTTAATTTGTCCGGAGTCCATTGGAAGCTGGAATAAACAATTCATTTCCCATTTCATTTCCTCAAGATCTGTGGATTGGTCCTTGAGGTTTTTCTTAGCAACACCACCACACTGGCTTCTTCCTGTGACTTGGTTTCCTTCCTGTTCAAGAGAAAGACATCGCTTCCTAGAAGTCACAACAGATCCCAAAGAGGATACTTTAGATTCCCTTTCATGTTCTTGAGGCAAAGCACAAGCAAAGGCCATTTTGTCAGCAGCAGTAGTATGTTCATCAGTAGAGCCACTTTGGGCCATGTCACTGGTGCATGATCGTTGACTAACTGGGAAGAAATCAGTCACTTGCCTCTGAAATCTCCGTGCTGCATGGAGAAACCAAGAAGGAAACAAATTAAATGAATGATGACTATCATTCTATTTCTGGAACATCTACAGACATTTAGTGCTTAACACAAATTTAACTGCTAATTATCCATGTTAATGGAAGAGATTAGAGGATAGATTAAGACTGACTATGGAAAACAAAAAATCCATATGTCATCCAACCATTTTGGAGAGCAGTTTGGAACTATGCTCAAAGGGCAATAAAAATGTGCATACCCTTTGACTCAGCAATACCATTTCTAGGGTTGTATCCCAAAGAGATCATAAAAATGGGAAGGACCCACATGTACAAAAATATTTATAGCACCTCTTTCTGTGGTGGCAAAGAATTGGAAATTGAGAGGATGCCCAATAACTAGGGAATGGCTGAACAAGTTATAGCATATGAATGTAATGGAATACTACTGTGCTATAAGAAATGATGAACAAGCAGACTTCAGAAAAACCTGGAAAGACTTGTATGGACTGATGCTGAGTGAAGTGAGCAGAACCAGAAGAATGCTGTACACAGTAACTGCCACACTGTGCAATGACTAACTTTGATAGACTTAGCTCTTCTCAGTAATACAAGGATCTAAGACATCTTCAAAAGTTTCACGATTGAAAATGCATCAAATCAAAGTATACTATTTGCTTTTTTTCTTCTGTTTTGTTTCTTCTTTCTTACGGTTTCTCTGATTGCTTCTATTTCTTCTTTAAAACATGACTAATGTGAAAATATGTTTAATAGGAATGTATATGTAGAGCCTATATCAGATTGCATGCTGTCTTGGGCAGGGAGTATGGCTAGGTAAGAAGTGAGGCAAAGAATGGACTCTTTCACCTAGTCAAAAAAAAAAATCTACCTGGAATAGGAAGACCTTCAGGATTTCTGGCCAAAACAGAAACAACTGCTATTTACATTCACTTTGAGCCATCAAGGCCCAAACAATGACTACTAAGTGGGGCTTTGGCTGGGACCTATTGTTGGCCAATCAATGAGAGTCAGAGTGATTTGGGTTTAAAGCATGATCCTTAAGAAATCTAGTCAGTAAACCCCAAGATATCTTGTGAGGTTTCAGTAATCAAAATGTACATTCCTTTGGACAGAGTGCCTGCAGGTAAGGGTATGATACCCTATTTGGACAGATGTCGAGGAAGAAAGGAAGGAAAGGGAAGGGAAAAGGAAGGGGAAAAGAAAAAAAGAGAAGAGAAGAAGAAAGGAGTGGTTTTGTCCAACTGGAACTGACCATTTGGGTCTCCAGTTGAGGAGCTTATATCACAGGTTGTTGTCTGTCCTTCTCAAAGACAACCATGTTCTCCAAGAGGACCACAATATCAGGAAGATGATGTCATGACTTGCAAGTGAACTGGATTTAATTGAGGGAGGGCTGTGCAAAGCCATCAGCCTTACTTTCTCATCCAGAGCCATCTAGGTCCAGTAACAAGATACAGATCAGGACAAGTGGAGATGCCTCTAAGATAATATATGTAAAAAAAATGCCTGAAACTAACATATTTTATAAATGTAAGTTTTTTCTTAAAAAGCACAGATGGTAATTATTTCAGTTTGGGGAAAGATCAACATAACCAAGCCCTACTGATAGACAATTTCACTAAGGAGATGGGTGTTGGACTAGTTCTTAAAAGTTAGGTAGGATCAGGCTGATGGAGAACAGGAATGAAAGCATTACAGGATAACAACATAAACAAAAGTAGAAATGATTTAGGCATATTCAAAAGACAATGGATAGCAACTTGGATGGAACAAAGGGTCTTCTCTTAACACTTTGAGGATATAGACCTGGAAAGGACCTGAAAAATAATGTAATCTATTCCTCTCCCTCCTCATCTCTGCTTCTAGCTTCCTTCCAGATCCACCTAACATCTCTACATCTCCCACCTCTACAGAAGCCTTTTTATCCCTCTAAATGCCATTACTTTTCCTCTGAGACTACACAATCTCATTTGTATACAGTTGTATTCACGTTGTTTGCCCCATGAGACTGGGAGCTTTTTAAAGGCAGGGACCCTCTTCTGCCTTCCTTTGTATCCCAAGGGCTTAGTACAGTGCCTGGCACATAGCAGGCATTTAATAAATGCTTAATAATCGACTAATTATAATAGCTACCATATCTAATGGTGCTTTAAAGTTTGCAAAGAGCTTATATTATCTTATTTGATCTTCACAACCCTGAGATAGGTGTAATTATTATCCCCATTTTACAGAAGAGGAAACTGAGGCAAACAGAAGTTAAATGACTTGCCCAGAATCAAACAGCAGTACCTATCTGAGGCAGGATTTGAACTCAGATTTTCTTAACTCCAGTGCTTTCTCCACTGCTCCCCTAGCTGTCTCAACATTATACATTACACTTGTTACTATAGAATCAAAGAAGGGTTTGCCCAAGGTCACACAGTACAGAAGACACAAGATTCAAACCCAGCTGACTTTCCACTATGCCGTACGTTTGAGACTAGAAGAAAATCAAAGCTGGATAACTGAGTAAGGCCAAGATGAGGAATGATTCTTGAGCAATGAAGTAACATGATGAAATTATTATTTTAAGAAGATTAATCTGGCTCCAACACAAAGAACAGACTGAAAATGAAATAGAAAAGGTTGCTGAGAACAGTTGGGAGGTTATCACAATAGGCTAACCATGAGGTGATACATGCCTACACTAAATTAAATTAGTTGCTGTGTGAATGAAGAAAAACATTTTGGAAGAATGGATCATTCTTAACAGCCTGACAGATAAAGGAGATGAAAGAGTGTGATAATTGTAAACTTTATATAATTTGATATTATAGTTATAATGATAGAATTCTAGCATGAAATCACTTAGGCTAAGTAGTTCTGAAGCCAATAAAGGAAGTGACCTTGAGAACTTCTCTATCACATCTGGGTCTGATTAGGAATGCCCCTCTCACATCTGACACAAATTACCTGTTTCCAACCAAGCCTATTCTTAATTTTACCACCTGAACCCCAACACGGACCTTGTCTCCTCCCTAATACGTAACCCTCTCCCTCCTCATGCCAAGTGAGTTTCTTACATCCATCATGACAAACCTCTATTTATATTGATGTAGAGTATGTGCATATGCTTTGTCTGCTGGCCGCACTGCATAATCATGAAGTCCTTGTTTGTATCAGCTTCCTGAATACCAATTTCCTGTAAATTCCTGAACCTAGGTCTTTGTTGTAATTCAAATTTATTTATTTATTTATTTTTGCTATAGGCCAAATAAAGCAAAAAGCATTCTAGAGTTTCAGCCTGGAAGAATGGTCAAACTGATGTGTGTTCTCCTGTCTCATTAAAGTTAAATTAGATTTCTTACATCCTCTTTTAGTTTTTAAAGTACAAATGCACCTGTGTTACCTTTTTTTGGTTTAGGATAGGGTCTCCAGTTCAGATCTCTACTTGTCCACCTTCGACTTAAGGGCTGGGTCAGAGAAAATGAGCCTTCCCTGCTTTGTGCCAAGTGTTGGCAGTCAATAGTTGTGAGTTGTATCCGCTTAAACTGTTTCACTAAGAGCAAAAAGAATAAAAGAATGGTACATTTATTAGTTATCACTTACTCAGCAAGCTAGCCAAGAGAAAGCAATCAAATCTCAGTTATCCAGTAGCTAATTATCCAGTTTGCAATTTGTCTCAGCCCTTTTCCTCCCTCTTTTGGCCCTTTGGTTTCTAAGCATTACTTCCCTTCAAGAAAGAGCTGAAAGATGGCAAGATGAAGATAGCTGACTTTGTCATTTATTGTTATACTACTGGTAAATAATGTTGTTCCTAAGGCCAAAATGTATTCTCCTATTTTCCCCTTGTTAAATTCTTGTCTTCTTAAAAAATAAGGGAGTTAAAACAGATGACCTCTGACATCTCTCACAGCTCTAGATCTCTGATCCTCCAAACAAATAATTCTATAAACGCTAATCACATCTGCCAGGATAGGCAATGTTTCGTGTCCATTATTCCCTACCTTTGTAAAGACATGTGGATGTAGTTCTCATTTCTTTGGCCAAATCTGGTCATTACAATCACACATAGCATTCATTTTCTTTTTTTGTTCTTTCCATTTATACCAGTGATTCTTAACCTGGGCTCTGAGGGTTTTTTTTTTTTATTTTGGAGGCAATCGGGATTAAGTGATTTGCCCAGGGTCACATTTAATTTTATTTTGATAACTGCTTTTTAATAATTGATTTCCTTTGTAATCCTATGTATTTCATTTTATATATTTAAAAAACATTCTAAGAAGGGATCCATAGCTTTTACTAGACTGCCAAAGAAGTCCCATGACACACAAATATCTTAAGAATTCTGGACTTATGGTTTCCTACCCATCTTTTAAAATCCAACCCAAATGTCACCTTTCCCAACTATAACACTTTCCATCAGGACTCCACAAAATGCTTTGCTTCACAACTCTGTAACGTACTTATTATGTATTATTTTGTAGTCATGTTATGTGTGTATATGCCATATTATTCTACTAGGCTGTAAGCTCCATAAGAGGTGGAACCATCTTTATTGAAACTCTGCTTCTCCCCCAACATTTAACATAATACTATGTACAAAGCATAATTTACTAAATGTTTGTTGAATTGAATTAAATTGGGGTTAGCTATTAGCTAAAATGAACTTTCAAAAACTGTTCATGGATTTTCATTATCTACTTTATTTTCATTACCATAAAATCAAGAGTTTATTGATAAGTATTAAAAATGAACCAACTCACAATCATCTTTACATAACCTACTCAGATCCTTCTATATTAGCAAAAGCAGAAGTAATGAACAAGATTCTGTAGACTCTAAATCGAATGAAAGGTAGAGCTATATCTTCTGTTTCTTTATATTTCCTCAGACACTAACATAGTACCTTGTACAAAGTACCTAATAAATACTTGTTTATTGAATGGTGAGCTTTGGGAATATACATCATGATATTCTACTCTTTCCCAACAGGGCCTGGCTAGGAGAGTATAAGACCATGAAAAAAAAAAAAAAGAAAAGGAAGCATTATACTATATAATCTTGCTCTAGGCATTTTGTGTTCATGAAGATTCTAAACAATTATCCATCTAGCAAACACTAGAAAATCACTCAACATATTCTCTAAACAAACAAAAATTTGACTGGTTACATACAAATTTAAACTGTGAAGTGATGTTCTCTACGACTAGGGCAATTTCAATAGCCATTTGCCTTCAGTCCCCTGTGAACCATAGTTCTAAAATCAAACTAAAATCTTTAAACGCTACAAGTTGGGGTTTTTTAAGTCCATGGGTTTAAAGAAACTTCTTTCTACAGCAATGAATTAATTTTACCTATGGGATACAAATTAGCTGTAAATCATACAACTAACAGGTGGAAATATGGATAACGTGGTAATAACCAAATTACCTATAGAATCACAGGATCATAGACTTAGAGCTGACAGTAACCTTAAAAGACATCTAGTCGAACCCTCTCATTTTAGAGAAAAGGAAACTGAAGCCAAGAGGTTAAGTGACTTGTCCAAGGTAACAGAGGCACTAATATAAGTGTTTTGAACCCAGGTTCTCTGACCCTAAATCTAGTGTTCTTTCTACTATTTCACACTGCCTCAGTTAGCTACAAGTTCAATTAAAACAAATGTAAATTTACTACAGTACAAATATTATAACAAGATTTATGAAATGAATAACCTGTCCAAGGTTCCTTTAAGCTCTAAAATTTTGATTATCTAATTCTAAAAGTCCAAAGAAAAAAAGCACAACTTCCAACTAATGGATAAAACAGATAACTACAGTTGCCAAAAATAACTAATACTATGGAATAGTGGTTAATTCATTCACTCAGAGCAGCAGCCAATTAAGTAATACATATATCAGCTAAAGCCCAGAAATAAAAAGGAGAAAATCAGGCTGGATTGGACTGGGGAAACCACGCAGGACTTTAAATGATTCCAAGCTCTTCCCTAACACACACACACACACAAAAAAAACCTTTTAAAAATAAAATAACTGGAAATTATGAAACACCCATGATCTCAAAATAAGTCTAAACTTTGGGTGTGCCAGGGGTTGTGCTAGTAGGTGGGGATTGAAATACAAATAATAAGACAACCCCTAAGGTCTCAATGGGAAAGAAAACTAGTAAATATATGAGTAAGGTACTACCCCCTTTCATATATAAAAAGTGTCACAAAAGGAATTTCTTTGTTAAAAAAAAAATGAAACCAACTTGCAAAACAGGGGTTCTTGGACTCAATCTAAGAAAAATTTGATAACCATTATTTCAATATAACGGGTTCTTTTGTAATCCTATGTATTTTATTATGTGCATTTAAAAACATTATATTGATAAGGCCATAGGTTTCACTAGAGTGCCAAAGGGGTTCATAGCACAAAAAAAGTTAAGGAACATAAACCATAGCCCAAACAGCTTGGTTGTGGAAAGGGGCAGAAAAAGAATTTCTGTGTAAGAAAAACTAATCAAATCTACTTGTGAGTAAAGTTTCTCCAATAAGATGTGAAGAGTGACACAGATTACCTAAAGGATGAGATAGAGAACTGCCCCTCAGATGAATGTGCTGAGAGGACCTGTTTGAGGATAAAGAAATAACTGAGTCTGTGGAATATTGTGGTCCTACTCATTTGCATACAGTGATGGGAGTTTTAAGTGTTAGAAGTTGGGGCAGCTAGGTGGCATAGTGGATAGAGCACCAGCCCTGCGGTCAGGAGGACCTGAGTTCAAATTCTATGTTAGACACTAGCTGTACGACCCTGGGCAAGTCACTTAACTCCAAGTGCCTCGAGATACTGATTACTGATAAAGAGGTAAATCAAATAACTGTTGTCTATGGGAAGATTACTGTTGGGTTTGTCTGACAAAAAGACAGATTTTGTGAGTTTTACCTCATAAGAAAAAGACTGATTTGAGGCAATGGAAATGAAAAAGTCAGCCGTGAAAAGGCTGAATTAAGTAAGAAGGCACCAACAAAGTCAGATGTCAGAAAAACTACCTGTTTTTCTGGGAGCCTGCTGAATGGTTGAAAGCCACCACTTTACAGGCTGACTGAAGCAAAGGCTGAAGCAGGTGCTGGGAAGTTCACTGAACAACAGCTAAAGTCAGCTGCATTTTGAGCTATTACCCTCCATCTACAGTTTGAGAGGTGAAACCTCTCAGAGTGGCTTGAGGGAGAAACAAAGGAGGAATGGCAGGCTGTGAAACTGAGTAAAGAAAGAATTGGCTGAGCATGTCTATATTGTCCATCGAGCCAACCAACCTAAGAAGTTTTGCTATGAGCCTTCCTTTTTCGTTTAAAAAAAAAAAGCTGAGACAGGATTAAACCAAAAACAAAAGAAGAAAAAGAAGAAATTAAACAGGACAGCTAGATGGTACAGTGGATAGAGCACTGTACCTGGAGTCAGAAGGACCTGAGTTCAAATCCGATCTGCATGACCCTGGGCAAGTCACATAACCCCACTGCCTAGCCAAAAAAAAAAAAAAGATATGATTAAAAAAACAGAATCATATTGAGTGACAGGCCGGCCAGGCTTGTCTCCATTGGTCAGTCAACCTGAAGAACTCTGCAATTCTCTAGCTTAAGGAAACAACACCATGTCTTTCTCAGGACCCTGTGACCGTGCATTAAAAATCCATCACTGCTTCATTAACTCAAGAGCAGAAGAGAAACAAATATGCCTTATGCCTAACAGAAGAAAAGAAAACCAGAAGGAGAGCAGCTAACAGAGAAGAGACTTTCTGTAGAGCAAATTGTTCCTACAGCAACCAAGGATATCAAGGCCTACAGTAATAGAGTTTTGTTAACCCAAATACATGAACTTTCCTACTCATGTGCCTCCCTGCTAGGTTTCTAAAAATGCACACCCATTCAACATCCAAGGGTGAGAGAAATACTGTGTGGATTGGGCAGTGTGACCAAGTTTATGGGTGTATTTAATGTTTCTGCACTTGCCTTATGTTAATTAACTATAATGTTATTATTCTTGCTTTTCCTTATCCTTAAATGTTTTATTTTTATTCATGGTGTCATAGTGACTACGTAAATTGGCAATTCTCTAGCTTAAGCTTAAATTCTCTAAACTACATATCATTACAATATTTTAACATTTTGTCAGCACCTGATTAAGGACAACTAAGTTAAAAGAATTTGCCACTCCTTCAATAACTCAAAAGCAAAAGAGGAACAAATATGCTAAAGTGGTTAATAATGTTTTTGTTGTTTGTCCTTCGTTCTTTATTTTTAGGCAACTGGGATTAAGTGACTTGCCCAGGGTCATACAGCTAGTAAGTGTCACATGTTTGTTCTGAGGCTGGATCTGAACTCAGGTCCTCCTGACTTCAGGGCCGGTGCTCTATCTACTGCGCCGCCTGGCTGCCCCTGTCCTTTGTTCTTGAAAATGGACCAGGACATCAGGAAGATGATGCCATAACTTGCAAGTGAAATGGATTTAAGTGAGAGAGGGCTGTGCAAAGTCACCAGTCTCACTTTCTCCTCCAGAGTCATCTGGCTCCAGCAGC